CACTCACCACTCACAAACCTCTTTAGTGACAAACCCCGGAGGAAAATATCAAAACATCCTGTTTGGAGCAGAGCCCAGAAACACGAGATTCCGGAGGCGAGAGGGGAAAGCCGGCAGGGACTACAACACCCACAATGCACCATGTGCACTTCCCTATTGGGCTTCTTTGAGCCAGCGGGTTAGCATTGTCCTTCTATATACACTCTATGTTAGCATTTCGTATCTATATACACTCTGTTAGCATTTCGTATCTGTATACAGTCTGTGTTAGCATTGTCCAGTCTATGCTTTTGATACGGTTTGTAACTCCTCCGTTATCAGATATATCAAGTTTTTAAATGCATTTTATTACTTTGGTGAAATTTTAGTTGCCGCCCGTTGCCACTGTTGAGTCTTTGGCCTGTCTCTGCTCAGAGCTAGGTATTATGCGTTTTGCCTCAAAGAAGCTATCAAAGGAGACAAAAGGTGCATGGTTATTAGCACACAATTAAAGGGCCCATATCACGGTTTTTGACTTTTCTCTGCTTTAAACATGATTACAATGCTATTTGGCTTTCATACACAAGCCTACAGTAGTTTATTCATTGATTCTGTCAATCTTTTGTAAGAGAGCAATCTGTCTCCTTCCCCAGCGTGAGGCACAGAAACGCTCGGGTCCACTTCAGTGACGAAAACCACACTGATGACGCGCATGACCCCGTTTGCTTTGTATTTAAAATAGTTGTTAAATACTTTTGTCAAAACGGGGTAAACAATACACAATTAGTATGCTGTTTTTTGTCAAAAATAATAAAAATAAAAATAAATTAAAAGCCGGCGGGAGGTGATTGACTGATTGAAACAGCGAATCAGAGCGCACAAGCTCCGGCTCCCGAGTCCAGCGTCTGTGGTCTGGTCTCGCGGACACCACATAGAGCTGCTGTTTTTATGCTTTTGTCAGCAACTAAAAGTGTTAGGATCACGTCAACTTGAATGAAGTATGTTATGGGTGTAAATATGTGACACACCATTTGGCCCTAAGAGGAAGAAAGCGGCTCGACTTTTTTCATCTGTTCATCTCATGGATCTATTATAAACCGGTTCATCTGCGACACTTCACTGAGACTGTTCCAGAACTACAGGGACAATGGAACTGGACTTACTCAAAAGCTGATCTGGAAACACGTTATTCCCACGGTAAAAGACGTAACTCGGACCCCCTCGATCTGTAAGTAGTGACGCTAACTCGCTGTATACTTCTGTAAACTAAATAACTAGGGTCTGATTGTGCATCGAGGACATAGGTCTCGATGTGACGGATTGTCATTGTTGGAAAAAGTTTATTCTTATGTATGAAATTAATAAGTACAGGTGATAAACGACAAAAGCGTGATGCTACGTCAGCGTGCGGGCGGGGGGAGGCGGGCTCACAGGCAGAGGAGCAGACTCTTCTCTGGATCAGCTCGTTTGAGTCGAGGTGACGTGACCTCTATACAAGAGATGGCTCTAATCTCACAAGCTTTGATTGTTGTGTGGTGTATCATACACATTAATATCACACATGTGTATAGGATTGAGTGTGAAACATGAAGAAAAGCGTGATATAGGACCTTTAAGCTATGGTAATAGTTTCAAGGCAGAAGTAACATAAAAGTCTAAGCGAGAGCTAATTTCTCACCCTCGACACTGCCAACGAGGCTCGTTCTTGACCTGTTATTTTCTATAACTGTATGCTTCATGTGTGTGCGTGTTAAGCTTAAGTTGTTCTTTTTTGTGTCTTTGTTTAGTTTTCACAATGTTTATGTGGATCTATGCAGGATGGATGCCAATTACACACTTGGATTGATGAATTACAGTTTTAGTACGGTTTAATTAGATTTTTTAGACTTTTAAAGCCAGTCCGAGCGACCTGCAGTGATGCACATCTGTCCACATCTGTCCACATCTGTCCACATCTGTCCACATCTGTACACATCTGTCCACATCTGTCCACATCTGCTGAACTTAAGCCCGCTCCTTATTTGGTCCAATCTCAAGTTTATGTTGTGGAGAATCAACTTGAAAAGAGGCGGAAAATGAGCTGTAATTTAGAGAGAGGATAGCGATCTGACCAGACGGAGGAGGAGGGGGGAGGGGCTCTGCTTTTGGAGAGCACGAGTTTGGACGAGTGGACCCAGTCAGGTGATTTAGAAACTTTAGACACTTTTCAAAAGGATGTAGCCAATTTATTTGTGTAGCACAGTTCATACACAAGGCGACTCAAAGTGCTGAACAAAAGAAGAACAACATTAAAAGAGTGAAGATACAATCCTTCAGTTAATGCAGCAAAACAGAACTGTAGTTAACCTGGATTTGAACATTTGTCAGAGAAAAAACCTGTCTCACATATTCAGGAAGACTGTTCCAGATTTAAGCTGCATTCATCTGAAACGCTGCCTACCCATACTTGGGTTGACCAACAAAAATAGTTTTGAGGAAAGCCCAAACATAGCATCGTACAAACCACATTCACACAACAACAATTAAACTAGGGCTGTATATTAAGACCTTAAAGGTCTCGCTCTCTGGTCTCGCTCTCTGGTCTCGCTCTCTGGTCTCGCTCTCTGGTCTCGCTCTCTGGTCTCGCTCTCTGGTCTCGCTCTCTGGTCTCGCTCTCTGGTCTCGCTCTCTGCATGGTCTCGCTCTCTGCATGGTCTCGCTCTCTGGTCTCGCTCTCTGGTCTCGCTCTCTGGTCTCGCTCTCTGGTCTCGCTCTCTGGTCTCGCTCTCTGCATGGTCTCGCTCTCTGCATGGTCTCGCTCTCTGCATGGTCTCGCTCTCTGCATGGTCTCGCTCTCTGCATGGTCTCGCTCTCTGGTCTCGCTCTTGGTCTCGCTCTTGGTCTGCTCTTAAATGCATAAGGATCCAGTTTACGCGAGGGACGTGTGATCCCAAACACGAGGGAGTGGCCCATTTTAAATACATTTATATGATTTAAGTGCTCTTAAACGCACCACTGGCCTTGTCTCATGAGTATCACACCTCATTCAGGTTTCACTAGAGCTGTGTAAACATGCTCAGAGAAAACTCTGTCGTCTCTAGTATTTGTCCAGAGCTACAATACATATGTACAGATGTACTGCGGTGGACTGTGTGTGTTCAGTGGAGGTATGTCAATATTTACAGGAACAGAAGTGACAGTGGAGGTTCATGACGGCTTCACACTGACCGTCTGCACACAAGACTATAGACTACCAGAAACAGACCAAACCAGACACAGACCCAAATCTGGGACAAGATACTAGTGTCAGGTAGAAGAGTCAGCTGTAATTCTAGCCTTAAAACATGGACAATGTTTGGTCCCGTAAAGAATTAGAAACCTAAACCAGGACCATAGTAGTTCTCTCTGTAGTCTCTCTCTGGTCTCTTTCTCAGCATTTACAGCTAAAGAACCATAGCAGCTACTTATTTTGTACAATTGTGTGCTCCCTGTGTGCTCTTTCTACTGTCCTGTATGTGCACTGCAACATTGAAATTTCCCCACAGTGGGACAAATAAAGGATCTCTTATCTTATCTCGCTTTTGGCTCCCTCTCTCCCTCTGGTCTCATCAATAAACCACTTTATTTGAACCTTCACCTAAATGAGCGATCACACTGATATTTGACTCATCACTGTTGAACTAATTATAGTGACAGCTCCAGCAGAACAACACACTGTAACCTCCTCTCCCTTCTCTCCGAGTCCTCTCTCATACACACATATTACAATAGTTAAACAGCTGTGATCACATGTGCAGCTCTCATCACACATACAGCGCAGTCCGGGGGGTCGCGTCCGGTTAAGTGCACGTTTACCGTAACGAGGCGCTAATGGAGCCGCCCCAAACACGCATAAACTAAACACACACACACACACACACACACACACACACAGAAAAATAAATAAATAAATACACACACAGACACTTGGAGACGTGCAAAAATCAATACGAGCGTAAAAAGGTGCTCCCGCAGTTTAGCCGCCTCTTCACGCGTCTTTAATGAATCCAAAGGCGGCGCTCATGTGAGGATCGATTCCAGGCGCTAGGAGTGGAACCTCCTCAGAGAGTCTCCCGTCTCTTCTCCCTTCTGTCTCCTCTCTCCTTTGCCTCAGCCCTGTCCTCTCCCTTTTCTCTCCTCTCCTCTCTGTGGTTAAGTCACGCCAAACATTACATTCTCCCAGAGAACCGGGAGAAACAGGCGTAACCACACACAGAATCTGTTTTACAAGCTTGGAAACAGTAATGAGATGTTATGTTGTTAAAATGGGTCAAATACCTGCATCATGTCTATTTCTTGCATAAAAAAGGCTAAAACTAACCAGAAATATTTTGTATTGAATGCGATCGTACAGTATTATACGAGTGCGCTTCATTTTTAACCCCATTTTTTAAAAATCGTGTGCTTGTATTTCTACGTCTGTTTTAGTTGATGTGTGTGAAAATGTGTTGTGCAGGTTTGAAATGTATCATCAAATCTAAAGAAGAATGTCATGGGGCGAAACGGGGGTATTCATAGAACTATAGTTAATAACGTAACTCGAACGTCTAGCCTTTAAAACAGCCACATACCTGCCAGCAGACCAGGGCTGCGCTGCGGCCGTCCCTGGAGACAACACACACAAACACACACACACACAAACACACTCACACACACCCGCGTTCAAGTCGAGCCAAAACGAGCCAGAGAAGTGTGCCTGTCAGCCCGGGTTCGCGTCCAGCCCTCCCCGCCCGTGCGCCGGTGCGTAAAACACGGGCACAGAAGAAAAAAAGGGGGAAAATCCTGTTCGGTCCCAGGTGCGTGGAGCTCCGGACTTGTACCAAACCCGTATTGAAGGCGAATATCAAACCACGTCTGGTTCTGGCTCAAAGGCGCGATATCACAATGCGAAGCGAAGTACGAAGCTGGTGTGTGGGTAAAAGCAGCGAGTGTTCCCAGCCCCAGCGGCTCGTCTAAACTTCCTCAGCCGCGGGGGACGCACTGGGCTCGGGGTCAGTACTTACGGGTGCCGCTGGTGCCTCGGCTCGATGTCTCCTCCGTAGTTTTTAAAATCCACACGTAAATGAAAAGCGGTAGTTCCACACGGGGTTGCGTCGCGGTGGCTTGTGTGTGCGTGGTGTGAATGGAGCTGAGGGGAGAGGAATGCAGCTCTCTCACAGATCCGAGGGGGAGGAGGGGAGAGAGAGAGAGAGGGAGAGGGAGGAGGGAGAGGATGCTGTTCGCGTGGGCACCAGCAGAGGGCGCACCGGGGCACGCAGCATGTGACACAGGCGTGACAGACTGAAAAAAATACATCAGATGGACAAGCCCAATGGTGGAATTCATAGCAAGGCAAATTTATTTGTATTGCTCAGTTCATACACAAGGTAATTCAACGTGTTCACCCATTGATGACTGATGTTGTTGTGTCCTTGGGCAAGACACTTTACCTACAAGGCGTGTGAAAGTAATGTTTGCTGCATGCATTGCATGCAACTGAAATTTCCCCGCTGTGGGACGATTAAAGGACCTTCTTCATAATTTATAGATATAATAAGTGTATTAAAAGAGTGAAGATGCAGTTGCAGTGAAACAGAACGGATTTTAAGCAAGATTTGAGTGTTGTCAGAGAAGAAGCCCGTCTCACATGTTTAAGAAGACTGCTCCAGATTGTAGCCACATAATTCTGAAACGCCATGTTTAAACCTGATTCTTGGCTCTAGCGGGAGGCCAGTCTCTGTGCTCCTCAGAGTCCCATAGGCCTGAGACCAGTACTAATGTGAGATGACTTCAGGACAGAGACCTGTGACCAGACTGCTACTGATGCTGCTGCTACTATTGCTGCTGCTGCTACTATTGCTACTGCTACTGCTACTGCTGCTAGTTCTCAAATTATTACTAGTAGCACTATGAGGATCAAGAGTTTAAAAAGACTGAGGCAACATAAGTCTCAAACTTCAGCCTAAACATGTTCAGTCTGTAAAATACTTTATTTTTAAAATGTATTCTCGATGAATAGGTGACCACTCTCAGTTCTCAGCAAGAAGGTCCTGGGTTTGAATCCCTGTCAGAACACGGCCATTCTACAGGTCAAATACAGAGGAAATAAGGATCAATAAAACTATGGGAGTGGAGAGGAGGGAGCTCCTTTCTCCTTTCCTGCCTCCTCTCCCCTTTCTCCTCTCCTCTCCTTTCTTCTCCTTTTTCTCCCCTCTCTTCTCCTCCCCACACGCTTTCACACAACCACACATTTCCATCTCTCACACTCACACAGAGATCATTTACAACATTTAGAACACACACATTTTGATACACCTCTTTTCGCAGCACATTCCCACCACTGTCTGCAGGTCTTAGACACTCGAACACGGAGCCTGTTTCCTGAGCCTCCCACCGTCACCTATTTATATATTTTTATATTTCCAGCGAGTCGCCATGGAAACTAAGTTAGTTCCGGATCCAACGGAGTCTCTGATGTTCCATGAGAGATGTCAGCTCCAAACTTCAGAGGAGTGAGAGAGAGAGGAGAGAGGTGAGAGAGGAGAGGAGACAGGATAGATTGGAGAGGAGAGGGAGGAGATAAAGGAGAGAGGAGTAAGGAAGAAGGAGAAAACAGAGAAGAGGAGAGAGCGGAGTCAGAGAGAGAGAAAGAAGAGAAAAGTAAGAGGAGAGGAAGGCGGAGATTGGAGGAGGAGAAAGTGAGATTGGAGAGGACAGACAGTGATGAGAAAAAGGAGAGAGGAGAGAAGAGGACGACAGAGAGATGTTCCTCTGTGTTTGTGTGAGTTCTGCAGAACACATTAAATATTCAATTATTCATTCAGCTGAAAACATCCTTCACTTCTTCTGCTGTCACACGGCCTTTGTGTGGACCTCCCCATTCACTTAGACAAACACGCTCTAAATTCACATTCAGAATTCCGACTATTCAATTAGTTAGACAGCTCTGGGTCTACAGCCTCAGTCCTGGATCCCTCTCTACCCCAGGTTTCTTCTTTTTCCCCACTGGGTGTTTTAGTGGCTCCTTGCCGATGCAGGAGTGTCTAAGGACAGTGACGATCCAGGACATTTAATAAAATTTCTGGACATTGGTCATCCCATTTCCTCTGCATTCTAGTCTGTTTTTTTATTATTAGATTTCCTGCGTTTGAACTGTTTGATTCTCTCATCATGTGAAGTCTTCCGAGATATCTGCTGTTAGGATTTAGGGCGATACACAAATACACAGAAATCACGATGTGACCAGATAACGTACACACACACACACACAGATGCACACACACACACACACACACACACACAGAGCCTCGTGATGCTGGGGGAAAGTGCCTAAAGCTGTGGATTGTAAAATACAGAGTGAGTTCTGTGTCTGACGACGAATCAACAAACGATTTCTGTGTTTGGACATAATGACATGAACGTGCAGCTGGTACCAGGTCTGGAATCATCTCATTTCAGCAGAAGCAGATCTGTGAGGGAGAAGAATCCACACAAAACAAAAACTCAAAAAGTTCCACATCTCTCTCTGGTTCTCTCTTTCTCTGGTCTCTCTCTTACAGTAGAAATCTGAGGTGGATATCGGAGCCAGAGGAAAGTGAATGTTCCGGTTTGGAGAGGAGCCCTGGGGTCTAACTCCTGTCAGAGCGGCAGCGGCTGATTTCACTCTCTCAGGGCAGGATTATGTAGAACGAGGAAAAGTTATCCAGAAGTTACTCCACAAGTATACCAGTCAGAGCTGTAGGACACAATCAGCCAGAGAAAGGCCAGAGAGAGACCAAAGAGGGACCAGAGAGAGAAAAACCAAAGGGAGACTAGAGAGAGAGACCAGAGAGAGAGACCAGCGAGAGACCAGAGAAAACAGACAGAGAAAGACCAAAGAGAGACCAGAGAGAGAGACCTTAGGGTTGCTCTCGATATTCGTTCTCTGCTTTGTTCTGATCTGTAAAGAGTTTGTGTTAGAGCTTGTTGTTCGTAGTGATAGTAGAAATCGAAGGTGGAAATCAGGTTTCTCGCTCGTCTCTGTCTGGTTTCTCTCTCCGGTAAATTCGACCTACTTATTACCCAGTTCCTGTGAGCTTCATGTGGAAAAGGCACAGGTCTGACCCCCCTCTAAGCTCCGGGGGAAGAGTCGGAAAGTTAATCCCAAAATGATGCAGAAAAGTGGGCTTGGATTTCACACAGAAGAGACTGGAGACGTGTGCCTTTGAAACCGTCAGAGTCAGCTCTATAGATGTTCGACAGTGACACAGCTCTCATGTTTTCAGCTCTGTACTCCCCCACAATGGGAACAAAAACTCATGTGATTTTCCATCCAAAACTAGTACTTACCAAATGTCATTGTACGCAATTGGAATTACAGAAGACTGTAATTCCAACTGTCTATGTTACTGCCTTCTGCTGTTTCTACTATTTGTTGCATGGCACTGGTCAAATGGACCCGTGGCAAGAGCTCTAGTGTGCGCTATCTTCTCTGTCTGGTGCAGAGACCACCAGACTCACTAGTCTCGGAGTGAGAATAGTGCGAGAGAGAGACCAGAGGGAGAGACCAGAGAGAGACTAAAGAAAGAGAGAGACCAGAGAGACTGGGTCAGTTGTTTGTTCACACCTCATGTTTTGTCATCTCCCTGATGACTTAGAGCAATCATAAGCCTGATGATTGCTTGGGTCTGGTCTTGGTTTGGTCTTGGTTTGGTCTTGGTTTGGTCTTGGTCTAATGAAGGCTTACTTCACTGATAGTGACAGCAGCAGTCTCATAATGAAATGTAGAAATGGCTCAAACGCCCGTGCAGGTGAGAGGGGGATAACCAGTGTTTGATGAAAATACAAGAATTACTTTCTTCTTGAATGAACAAAGTAAAGAATGAGACACACACAGAAACAAACACACACAGAGGGAGAGAGCGAGAGAGAGAGAGAGAGAAAGAAAGAGGGAGAGAGAGATAGAGCGCTCTGCTGCTCTGTCACTTTTCATCTCGCCACAGAAATGACCATCAGCAGGACACAGGTGCATCCAAGCGAGTTCCCACACACACACACACACACACACACACGCACACACACACACACACACACACATACATGGCGCAGGAAGTAGGTCACAGGTTTTTCTCTAATATTTTCTTCACAACAGGTCTCAGAATAAATCCAGTTTGTTCTGGATTAAAGCCGCAATATTGAGTCTTGTGTTAAAGAAGTCTCACTGTTTGTGTTGGTGCACATTTAGAGACCAGAGAGAAACAAAACTGGGACAAGGGAGAGACCAGTGAGAGACCAGAGAGAGACAAGAAAGAGCAGAGAGAGACCAGAGAGAGACCAGAGAGAGACCAGAGAGTGTGGAGAAAGGGTGGGGGTCCCTTGGGTGCTGCTCCTGGTTCAGTGCAGATTGTGAAGGTCACGTCTGAAGAAATCACATCATCAACAGCGTTTGGAACTGTCCTCTACAGGGCTTCAATAAGTAAACAGCACAGGAATAGCTGTGTGTGTGTGTGTATGTGCGTGTGTGTATGTGTGTGTGTGTGTGTACGTGTGAGTGTGTGTGTGTATATGTGTGTGAGTGTGTGTGTATGTGCGTGTGAGTGTGTGTGTGTATATGTGTGTGAGTGTGTGTGTGTGTGTGTGTGTGTGCGTGTGAGTGTGTGTGTGTGTGTATGTGCGTGTGAGTGTGTGTGTGTGAGTGTGTGTGTGCGTGTGAGTGTGTGTGTGCGTGTGAGTGTGTGTGTGCGTGTGAGTGTGTGTACGTGAGTGTGTGTGTGCTAGAGTGGCTCTCTTTTTTTAATTCTTTATTGTGTCTTTGCACACATCTCAGTGCGATCAAAGGAAATTTCAACTACCCTATTAGACACACATTTTTCTCTTTTCTTTTCTTTTCACCCGTTGTGCCAAACAAGTAAAGCAAATAGAATGTACAAATAATAAGAATCATAATAATCTCAATAATAAACAAGCCAAAAGGGCCTGGGCTACGTCTGTGTCTTCAATTCACAGACACAGACATTCTGTCAAAGGAATCTACCGCCACAGACCCACACGGAGATAAGAAAAAAATTAATTAAATGACTTAAAAAATAATAGAGAAAATAAATATAAATAAATAAATAACATACGCACACAAACACACACATGTACTCATACATCAAAGTAAACCAGCCCCAATAAATAAAGATAAATAAATAACATATAGTAATAAAAGAATTAAAATAAAATAAACAACAACAACTGATGAACATATTTAAACTTCCCTCTGTCTGTGTTATCATCTGGGTAAAGGCAGTCCACCTCGATT